AACTCAATTGGAAACAGTTTTAGAATGTCATCAGACAGTATGTAGCATAATATGAAATTATTTATATAAGAAAGACTCTATCTTAACCCTGTCTTGTTCTACATTTTATAAATGAGTAGACAAGATTTGAAGCACCCTTGCTGTCTGGAAATGAGGGATACGTTGACTGATTAAAAATAAGGACTGAAGGGCTCGGGAGGTAGCTCAGCGGTCTAAGCACCTGCCTGGCAAGCACAAGGACCTGGGTTCAGTCCCCAGTACCACATGCCATGCCAGACCTGGAACCCCAGGCGCACCATGCCAGCAATGAAACCAAGAATGGTGGCACATGCCTGTACTTCCAGCACTGGGGAGGCCGAGATAGGAGGATCACTATGAGTCTGAGCTAGGTTGCAAGACGCTGTACCAAATGAATAAAATTTTAAAAAAGAAAGAAAGAAAAATAATGACTCAATTCATAAGAACTTTGTGCTGAGGATAAGAACTAACAAGGTTAAATTAACAAAAAGAAAGCCTTCCATTTATTTTCAAAAATTCAGTAGCGGAAGTACAGTATGAGAGAAATCTGTAATACTCCCATTCAAAGAAATCTTGCTAACTTTTTAGTTAACCTAAGTTTTCAAACAGTATCCTAAAACTCTTGCTGAGCACCAGGTACCATACAGGCACGGTGGGTCTTATTACTGAGTCCTCCTGCAAATGTGAATTCACTCATCTGGAAGGTGTAGCTCCAGAGAGAAAATACGTTCCCAGGTTCAAGAGCCTCAGCAGTAGACACAACAGTCTGAGGAGGAGGTCCTATGTGATAAAGTAGCCTATGGAAGAAGGAGATGGGATTAGTGAGTGATGGGGAAACCAGGCAGGGCAGAAATATTGAGTAACCACAGGATGTTTAGTCTAGAGAAGAATAGATTACGGGACTTTGATGGTTGTTTTCCAGCATTTGGAGAGCTATTGTGTGACTACAAGGGAAGTCTTGAGTCTCTTCTGGGTTATTTCAGTGGGTGAAAGTGGGACAGCAGGTTCATCCTGATACCTTCAGGAGTCTTTCTGCCAACCTCAAAAAGCCTGTCTCTGAGGCACCGTGGCTATGAGCCACCAGAGGCTGACTGACTATTCTCATGTATTGAGCTCCCTCCTGGAAAAACTAGAGTTGGACAGTAACTCAAAGAATGCTTTCTGAGGATCCTCCTGATTCCAATTCCTTCACTTGTGTTTTCCAAATAAAGTGCAAAATAACAGAACTCCTCTTATCTTCCTGAAGTCTTCAGACTCATTAGAATTCTTGCTAGCAATTGGTGTGTTTTGCCATCTTCCTCCTGTTTGCTGGCTGATACCACCATGACATAGTCAATCTGTTCCAAGCATTCAACAACACTGCTGACCCACCTGGGGTAAAATGGTTATTAAGACCTGGACTATGACTCCAGCCATCCACCATAGTAAACACCAGCCTTGACCAAAACATACAAGAAAGGGAAAATTTTGCCTCAGTGTGAGGTAAATGGTGAAAGGAAGATCATAGTTGAGAGTCCAAAGGATGGAGCCTGTGCAAGGTTCCCCACACAGCCCACAGCTCAAGGCAGGTCTTATGGTCCCCTGAGCAGTGCAAATGCCAGAGGAAGGGAGGTACCTCTCAGCTCCTTGGAGCTGCCCTAATATTTACTGTGGCTGTATCTCCCCAGCTGCACGGTCCAGGGCGGCTTCTTCAGACACCTGCTTTGTTCTCAGATGTGCTAGGAAAAGAAAAAATTAGCACATCCTCCACTGGACATTTCTATTGTAAACTTTTGTCTAAGGAGCATTTGGTCAACAAAGTGTACAATTCTAGAGGAAAAGACTCATGAAATATTTCTGCCATTACATTCTGTCATGGGAAATCTACAAATTTGCCTCTTTGTTTCTTGACAAACACATCATTTGGTCATCATGTCTGACCTGCTTGTGGAATCACTGTTTACATGGTTGAAATGTTACTCCTTTAATATTTATAAAGTTGGCAAGTAAACACAGATACAAGTTCATTTTTAGTTATTACCATTAACCAGAAATTACATGATAGTCAGGCAACGTATCTTGTTTTTAAGTTGAAAAGCTTAAGTGAATTGAAAATTCTTTTGAATACTACTAGGAAAACCTGGCTAAAACATAGAATTACGCTAAAACAAAATTAGTTGCATGATCGCAAAGTTACAGATACCTTTATAGGACTTCAAATAGTTACTAAAAACAACAATGATACTGGTAATCAGTGAGAAATAAATATAAATATGATTTTATATTAATATCTGATAATTTTGTCAAACTAAAGAAGCAGCATAATCGTAAGTGAAGCACTGTGAGTTTTTGTTTGTTTTTTGTTTTTTGGTTTTTTTTTTTTGTTTTTTTTTTTTTTGAAGATGACTTCTGTCTTCCACTACGGGGAAAGCTGAGCAGTTGAGAAGACAATGATCACAGTCATTTAAGGAGCCACTCATTCTCGTGTTTAAATACCTAGGCTACCCAAACTGTGGTTGTTTCCCTGTAAGACATACTCAAATGAACAAATCCAGGGTAGACTCTCCTTTTGCTTCAAGAAAAGGACAACATTTCACAGAGGACTTTTATTTGGTTAACTGACTTCCGCCAGCCTCTATCCAACTGTAAACCATTTTCACAAAAGATGAGTGGCAAGTGCCTGGGGAGTGATGCTAACACTCCAGCTACACTGAATGTGCTTAGCCTACATAGCAATCTTACACAGTAAGTTCTGCTGCTCTCCTGCTGTAACAGAGGAGGACACTGAGATCTAAGGAATTTGTGGAAGATGACACAGCTAAGAATGGCCAGAGGAGAGTTTTGAATTCAGATAAGGTTCTGCTGGTTTCAATGTCTATATCATCTCGCTGTAATGATACCTAGGCAAAATTTAAAATTAATCACACTCCTTGTATGCCAGGCACTGTGTGAAGCCATAGATAGATAGATAGATAGATAGATAGATAGATAGATAGATAGATATAGATAGACAGACAGATAGATAGACGATAGAGAGATGATAGATAGATAGATAGATAGATAGATAGATAGATAGATAGATAGATGATAGATAATAGAGAGTCCTAGCCCAGGCCCGGTGAGTGTGTGGGAGAGCTTCCAGCTACCCTGTGCCGGCGGGACATGATGGTCCAAGTCCAGGCGCAGCATGGGTGAGACCCTCTTCCACCCCCTTGGGAACCTCCCATCCCCTCCCCGCCACACCCCCACCCCACCTCGCCTGCCAAGTGAGAATTTCTGCTGCTTTCTGGGGACCCCCCCAGATCGAGCCCTAGCCCAGGCCCAGTGAGTATGTGGGAGAGCTGCCTCTCCCCACTACTCCACCTTGTCCCCTCCAGACTCAGCTCAGGCCTGGCATACAGGCCTGGGGTGAAACACTGAAGCTTCAATCCCTGCAGAGAGAGTAGGGGACAGAACCACCCAGCTAGTCCAGGAGCAGAACATCTTGCCCGGGGTGCAACAGGTTCACTCCCAAGGGCAGCAGCAGGAAGGAGCTGAGCACAGCAGCAAGACCCAAGCCAGGCACAGCAGGATAAATCTAAACTTTGTAGATCTGCACCTGAATTTCAGTAGGTGCTAAGGTTATAATTGCACCAAAGCTCTACAACAAAGGTCAGAACACAGTGCTACATAAAATGACAACAAGAAGGAGCAAAATACAATCTCAGACCCCAAGCCCACCCACAACAAGTGCAGAGGACACTAACACAGAACAAATTGGGACTCACACAGCTGAAATCAATGAATCAACAGCTTCTGAAATAAAGAAACAACTGCAGAAAGGTATAGAGGAACTCAGATTGGAAATGAAAAAAGAAATCCCTGAATTAATAACATCTGCAGTAAAGAATCAAATGCAGAAACATATGTAGGAAACCTAATGTCCACCCA